GACCAGAGCCAATGTCGGCGAGACCAGAGTAAGTAAGACCACTAAAGCCACTTGAGAGATGGCCTTGTCTGGCTTGTCTGTACTTTTTATAAACAGTCAGGCCGAGTCCCAAACGGCACCCTAGAAACTAAGCAGCCCACTGCCTGTGACCGTGTAGCTGGTCGGGAAGGGGTGAACTTTGTCAGAAACAGGGTGCCGTTTGGGACTCACAGCAGTATTAATGCTTCTGTTCCCTTGGTTTCTCTCCCTCTGCAGAGCAGATAAACCCAACGGCCACAGCTCATAGACAAAATGGCGTTCAACAACGGCGGACGTGGATGTTTGTGGCTTCTTCGAAATTGAGTTTCTCGTTGTTTTAAAAACTCACACGGTTGTTTCACGCGACGGATGCGGCGATTCTGGTTTTCTGTTGGGTATAGGTTACCGGGTGGTCGTCGGGTGTGTGTGGTTGGTTGCGGAAAACCCTCCTTCTAATCCCTGTCAGCAGTCAAACGTAGCTCCCCTAAGAACACTGTAATTACAACACAAATGATTGGCCGCGCGTACGCTCTAGGGGTGTCTTAATCCTGGACATTGGGACACACAGGGGTATTTTGTTTTCTCACTCGACAGCTAATCACGGGTTTAACTGGTAAACCCAACAGTAAACCCCTGGGTGGAAACAAAGACCAAGGTGTGGCTTGATGATTACGTGACTTGAATAAGGTATGTTTTCGCCGCGGTCGGAACCAAACACGTGCATTCATCCAAGTTTCCAAGGACCATTAAAAAAAAACTGTATGAGACCACAATCATTCTTGAGGCGGTAAATTCATTTCGTAACGTCGTAGTTGTTAAGGATTACGATCTACACCACCCCTGTAACCACCCCCTTGCTGCGTCAAAGTTTCGTTGCTGTCTTTTGGCAATGCTGGGGAACAATGCATGAGAAGCATTGAAGCAATAATATTGATCAACTTGCCCGTTGATGCTAGTACATCTGGGATTTTTGACGAGCCATTTAGACATCACAAAACAGCTCAATGTATGGCGACATTTCAAAATCAGTCCGAGTTCCAATTTATGGCATGAGAAAGCCCGGTCACCTTAGGTAACAGTCAAGTAACGTGCTCTGTCAATTTCATAGATCATGTAGATCATTTGGATCTGGTGTTTCACAGGGTTCTCCAACGATGTTTTCACGTTGAATCTGTCCGAAGTACAGCGGTGTGTAGCGGCAGACGTATATTTCACGATATTTTCCGTCTGTGTAACTAAGTGACAATGTGTGAAAACAAGCTAACAGTACGTTGTGTGTCCTGCAGCATGTCCCGTGAGAGATGTGTGTGTGTGTGTGTGTGTGCTGTGTTTGTTTGTGTGTGTGTGTGTATCCTGTTACAGCACGCGTTCCCGTCAGATCTCCTCCATGTTCAACATCTAGCGCTCTTGTCTCTTCGGTTCCTCCTGCACTTAACAGCGTATGACCTCAGATGGGGACAGGAAGGGTCTATGTGAAGCACAATATTGCATTCCATGTGTGTGCGTGTGTGGGTATACGTGTGTGTGTTTGTGTGTGTGTGTGTCAATGCATGTTTCCTCATAGATAATTAATTGCCTTCCCAAACCTTTAATGTAAAATGTGTAAAAATATGAATAGATAGTGTGATGGAACACATATATCAATAAATACATTTTTGCTCGGAGATTTGTCAGTTGTATTCAGTTTTTCTTTGAATGGCCAGTATATATTATACAGGCTTAATAGCTAGTTATTGTTAATAGAAGGTTTAACTTTTTATTTAAGGTTTATTTAACTTTCTCTCGTAAAGCTAGGTTATTATGGCTTCAAAGGAATACACTTTTTATAGAAGTCCAGACAGTTTCTCCAGGCTTCACTTTGCTTAAAGTTAGATGCATAATTAAACCTTTCCATTAGTCTGTCTGTTTGATCGCAAATATCGTTGCGATGGGACAATGTTATATTTTTACTTTATTTGAATAACAACAATTACACACAACCTTTTAAAAGTAAAATGAAAGCAAAGCCATTTACAAAGTCAAAGTGGCAAACCCATATCCGGTTAATGAAGTGTTAAACTTCAAAACAACCACACTAAGAAAAAAAGATAAAAATCTAAAGACAAATAAGATATTGCATATTAGGGGCCATCGATAAAGCCACACACATGAAACCAAAAACACAATAAAATATACATTCGACCAAATATTAAAAATAATCATTCCTTTACCAGACAAAATATACACTTTATAATAAGTAATAATAAATAGCTTTCAAATGAACAAATCATCATGAAATAATATTTCATGTTTATTTTAATTTATATCAAAGGACAAATGAGATGGATAGTGCAGTGGTAAAGGTAGGTAGAGCGACCGTAAAAACGGAGAGAAAAGGACAAAGTAAAGAGTAGAGGGTGGCCGGTAACCTAGACGATAGAGCATCTGACTGGAACCTGAAAGGTGGATGGATTCAATCTGAGCCGGCAAGGAGCAAATCGGTTGTTCTGCCCATGAGCAAGGCATTTAACCCTAATTGCTTCTCATTAAAAATAAAGAACCAGCGTCAGAAAGACAGACAGGTGGAGAGTGTGAGGAGTCATTGCTCAACGAAACGTGTAGCTCTCATCGTCATACTCGAGACCGTCGTCATCGCCAGGATGTCCATACCGGAACTTCCTGTAGACCGTTCCGTCTTGTCCCATGTATACAATATCCTCATCGTCATCTTCGTCGTCCTCGTCCTCATTCTTATCCCCGCTTGCCCGCCGATTGGTCAAATCCACCAACTGGGCATCGGGGAAATAACCGCTGGAACTGGCGTGGCCCGTGGATGAGGAGTTATTGCGCCCGCCTCCGTGCCAGCTGCCGCCGAGTTTCTCATAGCCACGGGGAACCGTGATTGGGTCGGGGAGGGACGGGCTCTTGGAGCGTGAGCGTCGAACTAAAAACACCCCGGTACCCAGGCCCAGCAGCAGTAGGATGGAAGTGGTTATGAAGAGGGCCATGTTCTCGGGTGACTCCAATTCATCGTCGCCGAGGGCCATGTTCGTGCTGAGGACACACTCCCCTGGAAAACAGAGGGAAAAACACCAGACAAATGAAGTAGATGAATACATAGACGTGATGCTGGTTGACTACATTCCCAGATCATTACCATTTTTTTTAAATGATTGCCATATTCACTTCGGTCTGTCTGTCCTGCCAGATGTATGGTGGTTTCAACTTCATTTCTTGGACCCCGGACTCAATCGGTCCCCGAAATTCTACCACCGAACACTATTCGGGATGTTCAGTCAACTTTTAGATTAGGAGTGATTATGCATCACTGTGTTTTGCGCTGGGAGAGTTCAACCAATGTCGTTGTTGATGGATCGAGCCTGCTGTCTGGAATGTTAGGTAATGCCCCTATCGGCCTCAACGTTACAGAATAGTCACGTTGACACATTCCATGTTCGACAGGGTTTCTACTCGCAAATATTTTTTTGACAGAGTTGGCGATTGAATATTGCTATGGAATTTTTGTTTCTACTGGTGAAATGCACACGTTATCTTTTTTGCATTGTGTGAGGAAAATCCCAGTTGTTATGGCGCATAAAAGTATTTACTGTTTCTACAGTTTGAAATGTGTCACAACATGAAATTATTTAATTCAATTTGCAGTTCTTGCCACGGATCAGAACAAGCTACAATGATAAAGTAAAAAATGAAATCAGCAAATTGTTCAAAATTTTATAACAAATATACAATATATAAATTTGCAAAACAATTCTTTGCCTTTGCTATGACATTCCTAAATGATCTGTGATGCAACCAATTAAGTGGAGTCCACTTTTATGGCGGTCCCATAGTTGATTTGTCCAACTCTTAACAAAAACTACATTATAAGAACAAAGATACATCCAAAACAAATTTGGACAAAGGTTCTTCAAAGCATCAATCAGAGGTATTATATACAGTATCTCACAAAAGTGAGTACACCCCTCACAAATTTGTAAATATTTGATTATATCTTTTCGTGTGACAACACAGAAGAAATGACACAATTTGGACATTTTCACTTAGGGGTGTACACACTTTTGTTGCTGTGACATTAAGTGTGATGAGTTATTTTGAGGGGACATCAAATGTACACTGTTATACAAGCTGTACACTTACTACTTTACATTGTAGCAAAGTGTCACATGAAAATATATATTCAAATATTTACAAAAATGAGAGGGGTGTACTCACTTTTGTGAGATACTGTCAGAACATTTACCAGTCATTGAAAATCCCAGTAGCACAGTAATGTCTATTGTTAGAAATGTGTACAGTACCGCACAACCACAAATCTGTCAGGAACACAGAGTCCTCAAAAGTATCCGGGCAAGAAAAGCTTTAGTCAGAAAGGCCTCGTAAAAGCCTAGGGCAAATCTAAAAACGTGTCCACGGCTAAGCTGGGAAACACTGTGAGTATTGAGGCACGTACTGCCTACTGCTTCACAAAAGTGGCCTTTATGGGAGGGTATGAAAATGAAAAGAACTCACATCAAATCTCAGCTACAATTTGCAGCTGAATGCAGTCTCTGATGAGACCAAGTGGAAAAGATTCTATGATCTAATGACACCAAAATAGTGTTTTTGGCCTCGACTCTAAGCACTTTGTTTGGCGTATACCAAAACACTGAAAATCGTCCTCAGAACAACATCCCTTCTCTGATATATGGTGGTGAAAGCATCATGCTATGGGGATGCTTCTCTGTGTCAGGGACTAAAAACCGTGTCATTGAGGGAAAAATAATTCAGTACTGCACCTATGGTTCGTATGCAACTTCACGAAACTGGAAGCCGTGTCCAAATGTGCAAAGCTGCTAGTGACGTATATTCATCGATATTAATTTAAAGTAAAAACAGTAAAATGTGGAACAATCCAATACCGGGAAATACTTTTGAGAACACCGGTATGTACGTATGTACGTACACTATATGTATGCAATTTAACCTTTATTTAACCAGGTAGGCCGAGCAGCTGGGATTCGAACACAGGACGTCATACACAGCATGCACTCTACCACTGAGCTACTGACTGTGCCATGTATGTACAGTATATATGTACATATGTAGGTATGTATGTATGTATGTACAGTATATATGTACGTATGTAGGTATGTATGTATGTATGTATGTATGTATGTATGTACAGTATATATGTACGTATATAGGTGTGTATGTATGTATCTATGTACAGTATATATGTACGTATGTAGGTATGTATGTATGTATGTATGTATGTACAGTATATATGTATGTATGTATGTATATATGTATATATGTACAGTATATATGTACAGTATATATGTATATATGTATGTATGTATGTACAGTATATATGTATGCATGTATGTATTTATATATGTATGCATGCATGTACAGTATATATGTATGTATGTATGTATGTATGTATGTATGTATGTATGTATGTATGTATGTATGTATGTATGTATGTATGTATGTATGTATGTATGTATGTATGTATGTATGTATGTATGTACAGTATATATGTACAGTATATATGTACAGTATATATGTATATATGTATGTATGTATGTATGTATGTATGTATGTATGTATGTATGTATGTATGTATGTATGTACAGTATGTATGTATGTATGTATGTATGTACAGTATGTATGTATGTATGTATGCATGTACAGTATGTATGTATGTATGTATGTATGTATGTATGTATGTATGTATGTATGTATGTATGTATGTATGTATGTATGTATGTACAGTATGTATGTATGTATGTATGTATGTATGTATGTATGTATGTATGTATGTATGTATGTATGTATGTATGTATGTATGTATGTATGTATGTATGTATGTATGTATGTATGTATGTATGTATGTATGTACAGTATGTATGTATGTATGTATGTATGTATGTATGTATGTATGTATGTATGTATGTATGCTAATACAGCAGCAGTAAATTCATATTAGGATCCTTAACATGCTCTCATGTTGTGTTTGAAGTGTTCTGGATATTAATGCCCACCTCTTGTCTCAGTGCAGTTGCAGCACTCCCTCTGTGGTACTCGGGATTCTCCCTCCACTGGCGGGTCGTTCTGACAGCAGAGCAGACAGCGCCCCCCGGCTGTCAAGATGGCATGGGCAGGACAGCTGGTGCAGTTGTATGGTCCAGGTCCCCAGCAGTTCAAACAGGAGTCATCACAGTTCTCACAAACCAGGTCAGAGGACGACGAGGAGACCGGCTGCCATAGAAACAGGAAGTAAAGGCCAATCAACAAGCCCGTTTTCTATGACTCCGCCCAAGATCTTAAAGGTTGAGGTGCACTCTAGTCTAGATGATAAAGGACAAGTATTGCTTATGTCAAGGGTGTACAACGCAGGTCCCCGAGAGCCACAGTCCTGTTTTTTAACTCGGGCCTCGTTTCTCCCGGGTTCCCGGTTACGTCCACCTCACTTTCAGGCAATTAAACACTAACGAGGATTGATCAAATAAGTGTCAAGGAGAAATGACAATTAGCTGGACGGCGGGGGACTTTAGCCCCGGGGTGGTCCCCGTAATATTAATTAGCCGTTTGTACGCATCCTGATGAAATTGTGTTTCTGGGCATTTCAAGGCGTTAGAAAAGAGCCAGACGTTGGAGGACGTGGTCAGGCCTGATCGGGTTGGAGGTGGATGGTGTGGGTGTGGTTGGCGCCTGTACCTGTGGGTATTGACCCATGTCGCAGAGGGACTCACAGGTCCCGTCAGACCGCACGTATCCAGTGTGGCACGTGTCGCACTCCTGAGAACCACTTCCTGGAAACAGGACACAGAGCCAAACATGCCACGACTTGATCACTCGTGGCCCGATTAGGGTTCCCACTTTCAAAGCGTGTCCACTGAGAAACTTCAGATCGTGGTTTTAGGTGCCAGGAATTCGATTAGGTCGGATCCACATCCAGTAAACGGTGCTTGGTGGTTAACGAAACAAGTAGTTGCCAGGTTCCAATGCATCTCATGTGATTCAGTTGTTGCAGTGTGTGTGTGTGTGCGTGTGTGTAAAACAGAAACCCAGACAGCCTCACGGAGGAGGTCTCTCCCTCCACTCACCCGTACACGTTCGACAGCCGGCGTGACAGGGCTCACAGGTGTGGTGCTGGCTGTCATGGTAGAGTCCCTGGGGACAGCTCGAGTAACAGCGTCCCTGCCTCCTCAGGTAAAGCAGTCCCGCCGGGCAGCTCAGACATCCGTCCGTCCCGCCCGCCGAACACTCGCCGCAGCTCGGGTCGCACTTCTCGCAGGTCCTCGAGGCCACGTTTCCATAGTGACTGCGAGACAGCGCAAGTCAGACGGAGACAGCGGTGGCGGAAGGTCAGCGCATCGCGCGCGCGTTTTTCTATTGTGGTTATTTATAGGCGGGTGTCTGTGTGTGTGTGTGTGTCGCCGGTTTTGTGCGTGTGTATCGTTGGATGAAGGTTTCCGAGTGCGGGGGAGTGTTTGCTGACCGTTTTCGGGAGACATGTTACAGGGCAATAAATATCTGTGGCAAACATTTGCACGCATTCTGTAGCTTCTTTTTAATATTAAAACGTGGGCGTCAGTTTCACGGCACATTAATTTAGACTCTCAGTCGCTCCTGCACAAATAAAGACGGCTCTAATTAGCGTTTTACAGGTCAAATACAGGGCTCTTTAAATCTCTCGACAAGTAATGGGTTCAGGTGAGCTTCCGTGGACTTTCGCTGTGGTCTGAGGTCGCACAAAAAAGCCAATGAAATTGAGGAAACGCTGAGACCAGGAAAATTGAATCAAATTACTGTATCCATTAAATCGAATAACTAAGCGACCTCATCAAGGTATATTTCATTCCGGGGTCGAAAGTGTACGTACGGCGTGTATCGACGGCATATGTACCTGGGTTGGCAGGTGTCCACACACTCCTTGCCATCTCTGAACAGGTGGTCTTGGCAGCTGAGACACTCATGTGTGTGTCCGCCCACACAGGTGAGACATGCCGGATGGCACGCCTCGCACCTCTGGCCTGACCCCTCCTGGTAGAACCCGACAGGACAGAACTCCACACAGCTACCGTCTGTACACACACACACACACACACACACACACACACACACACACACACACACACACACACACACACACACACACACACACACACACACACACACACACACACACACACACACACACACACACACACACACACACACACACACACACACACACACACACACACACACACCATCATTCAACACGCTGGAAGCTCAGACCAAAACAAACAGTTTCCGTTGACGCGACGGCAGCCGGGGATGAGAGACGACTCCACCTAGCATGGAGTCGTCTCTCATCTACAGCTAGCAGAACATCCTCTGATTAGGGATAGACAAACTCACTTAGCAGGAAATGGTTCTGGTTGCAGCTCAGACAGTGGGTCCGGCCCGGCCCGTAGCACTCGTGACAATACTTGTGGCAGGGGAGGCATTTTCCGCTCTGGTCAGCGTAGCTGCGCGGGGGGCAACCGTCGACCAGGGGGACACAGTGTTCCTGTTCATCCAGTCTCTGATCATCCCTGCAGCTGGAACACGAGCCAGCATGGGGCCCCGTGCAGGTAAGACAGGATCTGTCACAGTCTGTAAACCAGATGGCACACAGAAACGGAGACCGGGTTAAAGCTCCGGGTTAAAGCACCGGGTTGCGTGGAATGCAGCCGGTCCGGTCCTGGGATAAGATCAGAACTGCATGCCAGCCCGTTGAACTTTGAAATGATGTGGCCCTGAAAAAAGTTTGTGAACTTTTTCGCCAGTTTTTTTTCTGATTTGTTGGAATACAGTACTCTTTTAAATGGTCTCATAAGATCTACCCGACAGTAAAAAGCAAAAGTACCCCAAAGTTGTTCTAACCGGCTTGATGTTCATTATCTTTTTTAATCAGGAGCCAATTTCTTTCAGCTTTTCAACCATGTCTGATTAACACTTGATTTCTCATGGCTCTTTTCTCATCTCCTCATGCAGCACAGATACAATATAGTAAGCTATATTAGAACACCAACTGGCAATAAAACCAGAGCATGGTGTAACCCAGATTAAAATAGTTGATTCATATTATGTTTAATAAATAGTAATAAAATAATTACAGACAAACTTCATAATATTAGATTAAAAAGTTCAGAAGTTAGAGGTTAAATAAGATTTAAATAATCATCCAGGTTATTAGTAATGTAATTGGTTGTCATGTTCAAAATGTTCTAGTGCTTTAAGAATTGACAATTACTCCAACCAATCGGAAGAGTCGGTTAGGTTTTGCTATTGGGGAAAGAACGGAAAAAGATAGATACACTCCTAACCAGACGGAGCAAGTGAGCAAGAACGAGAGAGAAAAAGTAACAATTAGTTCGTTAAGTTTTGTTTTCATTTTTCCAAGTATTATATTGCCTTGTGCTTATTTTAAGTAGATTGTGGTTTATTTTCTAAGTAATTAGTGTGACCGAGAGCTAGAACTGTAACAGTTGGACTGTTGGAAGCTAAGTTGTAAGCTAACTACCAGTACCAGCAAACGGAAGAAAGGAAAGAAGATGGCGAGCCTCCCGTGAGCAGACCCAACAACACGCCTTGGATTAGGGTGAAGTACAAGGACAGCAATTCATTTACCCAAGTGGCACCTGGATACTAGCTGAACATTCAGTTTATGATAGTAGACTGATTGGATTGATTGTATGTTATATGGTATTAACCATAGGTTACACTGTGTTGAATTGTGAATGTTATTTGTGGTTTTTATTTCTATTTTGTACATTACGTTGGATAATGGCGGAAAGCAGGGGCGAGGCTAGCCCCCCTAAAAAGGAGCTCAACACCCCTAAAACCTGGAGTAAGAAATGTTGTTATTCTAACATTTTTGTTCGTCTTTGACAAGGTTAAATAATATCCAAAATCTACTCCGTAGTTTGTGGTTTAAAATGTATGTGTTAAGGATGAAAAACACCCCCGCTTAGCAAATGGTGTCGTCCTCTCCTCTTCTACTTGTCCTCTACCTGCACTGCTCAGCACGAACGG